CGGGTCTCCAGTACCGCGCTTGCAGGTCTCCAGAACGTGCGTCGAAGTTGGTCGCGGAATATTTTTCGCTAAGGGATTGCCGACTGACAAAGTAGAGATGATGCTGCTGTAGGAGTGCGACTATAAATAAGACGATAGCAACGCGATATCGCACATGATAAAGTGTTCGCGCTCTATGAGGTATTGTGATGAATAGGCGCCCCATAGGTACTGAGGCTCAAAGAAGCAGACTTTGGCACAATGAGCGCTGGGACTCATATGAAGAGGTGCGCTTGCAGTCAGTCTAAGTAAGACAAGCAAGCGCGACCTCTTTGAATGTTTGCTAGAGACTTGGACTGGGGAGCCAGTGCAATATGACGTGCCGGCCTAAGTTTTTTATGCATCGTAGCAACGAGTGGCTATCGTCCATCTGCACGGCATCTCGGAACCTACTCCCAGGCTCAAAGCACTAATTTCAGTCTTAATGCTCCCTTCATGACGTCGATCCCCAGATGCTGGGCCTTTCAATGGCTAAGACTTGGCTTTCGGGAAGCAGGGAAGCAGGGAGGCAAGTAGTCAGGGCGCTACCCACTCGGAAGGACGGCTGAGCCACAAAGGAGCCAACCTCCCTATTGTGGCGCCATGGTGGATAGGCCACCCACTTGTAAGAGTGACAGACCTGATGGCCCTTATTCGTTGTCGCCCGACGGCGCAAACTGTATGAGAATTAGCGGTCTTTACAAGTGCGACCCATCAATATGCTGAAGACATGTATGCTCCGTAATTGCATCCAAACCGGCGCATGCCGACATTACCGCTCCGTTCGCTTGAACCAAGAGTGTGGAGCGCTCTAAGCCACGACTACGCTCGCCGCCTCGACTGCGACGTGCTTGGAGAGGGCTATGTAGTTCGAGGAGTGGTTCAGAGTGGCGCGCATGCAATCCGCAAACATACCTAGGCATTAGAATCTTGGTGTCGTTGAACAAAAGAGCGGGGTGACGTCAAGGATGCGCTGTCAAGACACCCGAGGTCATGATCCAGTGCCAGGTACAGGGTTAGCGCCGAGCACTGAGCAACCGATCTGATCAACCACCAAAGCCAATAGACCCGTCTTACAAGCTTTGCCGTCCCTTCCCGCATCCTTGCCTACCGCATTTCGACCATGACTACTGAGGCTCGCTCCGCTGCAAACAGGACTCAACTGATATCGCATTTTGATGACTACAAGTAATGCAGCGGCACATGCCGCCACTTCCGTAGGAGCCGCCTCGGACTAATTCTTTACCAGGACCCGCGACGCACAGAGCGACGGGTGGGCCAAATTATGGGAAAAGGATCAAGCAGCTCTATGGGATCGTGGCCGACCTTCGCCTGCCTTGAAGACTTTTCTAGAGGAACATCCGTATCGCGAGACGCTGTTTCGTGATCTGGGTAAGCGTCAGCTGAGGGCCTTTGTTCCGGTACGTATCCCTTGCCAAAGACGTTGAGCAACAGTGGCTGAGCTCCTCAGGGCTGCGGTAAAGGCCATGATGTGGCTCTACTAGCGCGTCATGGCTTTAGGGTATGGGGCCTGGAAGTGTCTCAAGGAGCAGTGGATACTGCAAATCAAAATGTGAAGGCTCAACTGCATGTCTCTGCCAGCCACGGCGCCGCTGACGTGGTTCCTGGGGATTTCTTCCTGAATGGCTATGAGACGTTTTTTGGTCCGGATTTCCACGGCTTCGATCTTATCTATGATTACACAGTCAGTGCACGATGCTGAATTCTTATCTGCTGACATAAGGATGACGAGAACTGATCAATTTAGTTTCTCTGCGCCTTGCTTCCGGAGATGCGCAAAGACTGGGCTGAGCGCATGAAGAGCCTCCTATCGCCGACTGGTGTACTATTGTGTCTTGAGTTTCCCATGTGGAAGCCTCTGAACGCACAGGGCCCGCCGTGGGGTCTCAATGGCGTACACTGGAACCTGCTGGCCGATGGTGGAGATGGCATGATTGACGAGTCTGGTAATCTTGTCGTCAGCGGTAAAGAGCACGGCAGTTTCGAAAGAGTCGTGTACTGGAAGCCTCCCGAGTCATTCGAGCAAAGCCGCGGCGAAGATATGATCAGTGTGTGGAAATTGAAGCAATAGGTCGTCACAGTATCTACAAAGAGTTGACAAGAAGTTGCCACCTGATCAAACACCACATCATTGTCATATCGACTGTGCGTCATGGCTCTTGGTTCCTCACATTCCATCGGTAAGCATAGCTTCCACCATCTGCACATGCCTGTTCGCATTCGTCTCACTCCACTCTGTATCGTAATTGAGCCCATAGGGCCAAAAATGGCTGCCACCACAGGTAATCTTCGCATCTGGTCCGTCGAAACTTCTCACCAGTGGCAGCGCTGTCCTCCAATCGCCAGCAGCACATTTGTGATCAAAAGCCGCCGTCTGCCCAACGCCCAGCGTATGGCTTATCTCATGCAGGGCAGTCCGTTCGCTCATGTACGCGCGGTTTGAACCGAAGCGTAGGTCGCCATTGTAGTTTGCCTCCGCTGTAGGAACTCCAGGAGCGTAGGCGACACGGATTGTTTTTTCGGCATCGGAGTATTTGGCATAGCGAGCGACGGCTTTGGTCATTGCAGCTTCGATCTTGGTGTAGGCATCTTGTTGGTCGGCGGTGGGATTGGCTACTTTCGCCAAGGACCAGTTTAGGCGGGCAGAAGCTATGCAGGTGTAGGCTGCGAGAAGGAGAATAGATGTGAGCTTCATGGTTTAAAGTGCGGCTGATTGGACTTTGAAGATGTCCAGCTGGCTTGAAACTCATGAGCTTCGTCCAACGTGTTATACCAGATGCTCTTCCTCGCGATGCTACCTTGTCAAATAAGGATCATCAACACCCTCTCCCTGATGTATGCAATCATGTACGGCCGTCGAACCTTTTTAGGTAGGTACATAGCTAGCCAAGTGGACCATCAATGTATTCCGATACGGACATCGGTCATGCTTGACTTATTCCACCAAATACAACTCTGCATTTGAGAACTCATAGCATTTTTGATAGCCTCAGGAGATTTGTTGTATGTAAATTGGCTTGGTGTCGCGGCGAACTAGGGCTGAAACGATCAAGTGTCGGAGAATTGATTGCGTCAGGTTAGGCCCCGCATCTCGGATAATTATACTCTCGGTATACACACAACTACCGTTGGTGCGGCTGACTGTGATTGCAGCGAGAATGGTACGATGAGGAGCTAGGAAATTTTAGCTGGCGAGTGTCTTGAAAATCACGGCTTTATCTAGCGATAAAACTCGGAGCATGCTCAGATGACTCTGTCGCCCAGACGGAGAGCTACCATCTGAAGGATATAATTGGCTCAAGTGCCCAGAGTACTAGCGATCTCAATACACCAATATTAGGTCCTTCCTCCTTGGTCATGCTATGAAAATATTAAGCTGATACAACACATCCAGCTTGGGTAAGGGTGCTCCGACCATTCTGAAAGAAGGTCTGATCGTCGAGTGATCTACCGGACCGTTATCAAGAGATGTACCGCCAACCAGAATGCTCAATTGTAGGGACTGCACTTGCATTCTGAATGCGACTCAGCCTGAAAGTTCATGTATTTGTTTTGGCTTCTATACACAACATGACAGTCGGATTGCGATAAACGATGTTATCGTCATGTGTGACAAGCAACGCGCTCAGGCCTGAGTGCATTTGCTATCTGCGGCTTGTATCTGACGCGCTGAATGGGATGGGCATTAACCAGGCCGATACATTGACAGTGTCTAGAGGATAAACTCAAATTCAATTAGGATAATCTCGCCGCATGCACGTCATGTAGCTCGTTCAGTCACTTCTGGCCCCTGAACATAAGATACCCCAGATTGCTGATAATTGCCATGGCACCTAGACAGGTATTGAGGGAAATATCCTCGAGAGAGCAACCATATCATATGAGTTTGACCAATTGCTTGCTTTGTTTCATTTGTAGATCTTGTTGCTAAGCACTAACAAAAGACCCGGCAAAACTTAAGTATAACAGCACAGCCTTGGAATGATTGCAAAGTCACGGAGAACTTGTCTCCACCAGTTTACGATGTTGAACTAGGGCGATGAGCTTACTACCTCCTCTCTTCTGAAGTTCTTCGCTAGGCATTTTGATAATCTCGTAAAACACTTGGGTAGCAACGAAGACGGAGATCCACCTACCATGATATGGTTTCTTTAGGGGAGTGTGGTTTTGCGCGCATGAAGTACTCGTTGCACTTATAAGGTAGTATGACCACTGACTCGCTCTAGGATCAAGACGCAGATTTGGCAGCCGGGATAGAAGGCTGGAATGATATGGAATGTAGCTCAAAACGGTGCTTACTTAGGCAGAAATCACCAAGACTATGGTGGTGGTAAAGAAGCCTAGCAAGGTGCACTTGTCCGCCACTGTGCTAAGACGTCGCACCTGGGGGAGAGAAAAACCGGTGGGACATGTGTACTGCATTACGGGCGGAGAAAAGGAAAGCGTGCACACTACGATCGATATGATGTAACAGCGTTGTTGCATGTATGGCTTGGTATACCTTGCTAGTCGAGTGAGAAGTCAGGGAGACTGTTACGGGGAAACGGGAATAGTCTTCTTCGATTGCATGAGCATACACAGAACCGTGGCCATCTTCCGGCTCTGCAGGTTGCACGTCTTCAGCATTCCATCCCTCAGCCAAAGTAAGAACCTACGCTAGCCTTGGCGGTGCACGCTCCACGCACGTTGCGCCCACGTGTCTTGCCCGGCGCAAGTCCTCTCAAAAAGCACGGACCACCTCAAACCACCAACTTTTCATCCACCCACCACAACACCACAATCTTTTCTCGAGGCATGGGATAGTGCCAAAAACAATGCTTGGGCGCCTGAGCGGCGTCGGCCTGGAATTTAACCTGGGCTAAAGCTCCCAGATCAGTTGACAGTTTCCAGACTAGCGCCAGCCAGGTGTGGGCTTATCAACCGACAACGAGAAAGCCGTGAGCAAAAAGAAAGGATGTTTGTTGCATCGGCCGGGAATCTATTGCTGTTAGTGAGATGGATCGAAACTCCTCATGTCAAGTGACTTACCGAACCCGGGGCTAGCCGAAACTGAATGGCAACGGCTAATTTTACCACTAAACCACCGATGCTATTATGTGGAAAACCCAGAAACGACCGACGCGGAGGTCGTTGTATTGATGGGAAAGAGACGAAAAGGTTGCTTTATGACTTTTTGTAAGAAAAAATTCCGACCAGCGCTTCAAGTACCCACAAAGGGTAGGGCTCAATGAATTGACCCCCACTTCAACACAAGTATGTTTCTAAAAGAACTACGGTTGAGTTTCTAAAAATGTACTAGCCTAGGCGCTCAAGGACACACTACTGGACATGCTTCCGAAGAAGCGCTGCCGCCTCCGCTGCAGCACCAGTAGTGTCAGTAAGAAGAATACTAAGCCGACCGAGGGATGTCATCACACAACGGCTGGCCCTAATCGTAATTCGGGGTTGGTTCTAATTGCACGTTGACCGTACCACGACACTACGGAACCACGGATATGCAAGAATCGCCATGAAAGTGTACCCGCCGTCTTGGTTGTTACACATGCCAACTGTTTTACTTCCTGTGTGCCGTTGGTAGCATCTTGAAAGGGTGCTCAAACGTTGCAGTGTCTGAAAGTTTCCGGCGTAGCCTGGGATGGCGAGGAGAAAGGCTATTTTAAGAAAGTCGAATAGTACTTAATTGGTACGAGGGTTCAACAATTGCGGTAGCTCCCACTAAACATGCTTTATCGCGCTGAATGCGACGTGGCTCGCCTGAGGCTCTCGAACATTTCATTCACATTCCAGGAAAACACAGCGTACGCATTCGTAGAATCGCTAGCTGCTTCTTTATACACTAGGGTTGCCGCGCTGGAGAATACAGCATCGACAAATTAGTCTAGGAGGGGTCCTTCATTAGCCTTTTTCAACGAAATCAACACTCTGGGCAAATACGACGCCTCATGCTATGGACCGTGTAGGCGCTTTAGACATGGCTAGAGCACGTATGAAGGAATTCCACGAGACGGAAAAGCTAGTGAAGTAGCATTTCAGGGAGGTGGACGGTGACCAACTTGGAAACATTGATGAGGCAGAACAGTGAAGGACAACCAAACAAGGCAAATGCAAAAATCACGCAGCGTGAGAAAATAGCGTCTTGACAAAACGTCAGCCTTGGAACCTGGCCATGTTGTAGAAATCTTCACAAAGCAAGCGACACATCACTTGCAACGCAGAAACAGTATCAGACTCGTAACACAGCAGTGCTGTGCAAAAGGTGGTATTCCATGTCCATGCTATAGTATATGAAACATTCAAAATGCCATGAGCAGTCTAATGCCTTACCCTAGCAACCCAAAAAAAACCCCCCTCCCCTTGGTATACCATGACGCCAGTGCCTTTCCACAAGATTGTACTAGGACACGCAATATTTACATTCCCCAAGCGCTAGTGACGGCGTTCAAGGCACCGTCAACGGCCTCTTCCAAAGTCTCAACGCGAAGACGAAGAGAGCGGTTCTCCTCTCGCTCCTTGGCTAGACGACCCCAAACAGCAGACTGCGCACCGCCTTGACAGTTTGCGCATCCCCAGCCGCCTTTGGCAATATCGACCTTGCCCTTCTCGACGACAGTGCTTCCCCGCTGTAGTGTTGTCGGCTTGCGGGCCTTGGATGCGCTGTCGTGGGCGTCGTTGTCGAGTACAGAGGAACGATCGGTGCCAGTGGGGCTGAGGCAGTTCCTTGAGAAGACACTCGCGCCGTCAGTCTCGGTTTCCGACTCGAAGCCGGAATCGACACTAAGTTCGGAGCCTGAAATGCGGTTGTGTCTGCGTACAGCGGTGTCCTGGCATGAAGTGTGCTCGCATTGCGGTGAAGCCCTGATAAGGGCGAGACTCCTCTTACGCGCCGCCTCTTCTTCCTGCCTTGCTTTCCGCTCAAAGGCAAGGTCTTCCATCAGCGAGCGCATCTGCTCATCCTGCTCGTCGGCACGCGTCGCCATTGTCTCGAGCTGCATCTTGAGGTGCCGGGCCCGTGTCTCGGCCTCGTCGAGCTCGTCATCTTGCGCGCTCTGCTCGGACTGTGCGTCTACCAGAGCGGTGGAGAGTTGGCGGTAGGCAGTCTGATAGCGGGAGAGTAGCGATTCGGCGTTGGTAAGGAGGTCGTGGAAAGATGAGGCGGCGAGAGGGTCGGCGGGGCCATGAGGGAAGAGAGCTTGAGAGATGTTGAGGTTGAGCAGGTCGTCATCGGGGTTGTGGTATGTGGGTGACTGGGGTGGAGCTGGTGCAGCAGCGTTCTTCTGCGTCTTGAGCAGCCAGGCAAACTTGCTGCTCGCGGTGGGTTGGGCGGGTGCCTTGGTCTGTGTCTGCGCCTGGGCCTGGGTGGCATCTGAGCGCTGGGGGCTCTCGGAGCCACTCCTCGTGAGGGACGAGCGACGGGTGAAGATGCTGGCCATCATGTTGCCCCTCTCCTCTTCGTCTGCCTCGGAGTCGGATTCAGACTCAGACTCAGAGTCGTACTCCTCGCCAGATGCCGACTCGGCGTCGGAGTAGTCGTCGTGGGGCGAAACGCCCAGCTTCACAGGGGCTGAAGCGCCGCTGAACCAGTTCTGGAGAGCGCGGATCTTGGGCTGGCTGGCGCTCGACTCGACAGCTCCCCTCGAGGGCATAAAACTCGCCAACGACTTGGAGGGCGAGGAGGCGCGTGAAGTATGCTGGGAGATGGTCGATGTGGCGCGGTTGAAGTTGTCAAAGATTGTGCCCGTCAAGGTGCGCTGGTGAGTGCTGCGGCCAGACCGAGGGAAGTCCTCTAGCGGGGAAGGCGCGTGTGGGTCGTAGGCGGTAGCAGGAGTAGGTGTCAAAGCGGAAGGGGGTGGTTGAAGGCCAGTGATGTCGACGTCGCGAAAGGCGCGCAGATCATGCTCGGGCAGGGGAGCCGACTGCTTTCGAGCGTGGTATGACTGTGCTTTTACGCCTGCGCGCTGCGAGCCGTGGGTAGCATACGGAGCCTGGGGTGGCTGTTGCAGCTCCAGGTCAAGAGGTCCGTTGCGGCTCATGACGGGCTACTGCAGCTAAAGGTCCGGTGCCGGGGTCCAAGAGTGCCACCGACGCCCACAGCTATCTCCGTCTGATCGGCGGCGAGAGATATGAAGGGAGTCGCCGTGAAACCAACCTGAGGAGGTCGCCTTTTGAACGGGGAACGCGTCGAGGATAACCCAGTCGACCAAGCTATCGATAGGCCCGAGGAGCGAGAGGCGTGGGGTTGGTGTAGCGGCGGTCAACGAGTGGTAGCCTTCACAGTAGACACAGTAGGTGCAATGCAAGCTGTTCCTACCCGTGTAGTGTACCAAAGGATCGAAGAGGCCTCAATGTTTGCACAAAATGTGAGCGAGGGTTTTGTCCTCGTGCCAGCAGCGTGGTGGCAGGAAATCAGCGTGGCCGGGGAAAGCCAGATTTTGTGAGGCTGGGACGGCTAGCTCGCCTCGTCATGCTCGCACACCGCAACACGTATACATCGCTTAACCCCCTCCGATAGACAACCCAGGCCAATGGCATCTCTGCGTCGCACGCCATCTAGTCACGCTGCAGTCGAGCTCAAACTCTTCATTCGTTTTGTTTGCGTTCACCGTTTCCAAGACGTGCCCACATGCCGAACGTTTAGCGCACCCTTAGTACGCGTCGCGATCCGCTAGCTGGGCTTTGGAAACATTCATCAAAAGAAACCTTCCCTGGCGATGGGGAGCAAGAAGCGCAAATACCGGCTACATTCTGCTGTGACCGCCAGAACATGTTGAAGCGTCTTAGTGATCAGGGTACCCACCCTCGCCAGCTGCATTGCAGTAGCGGTCCCATTAGAACTCGATAATCCTGCACCTCGGCACGTGTACTATACCGCCTGTTCGGTTGTTACCATCATTTCTGCGCGAGTAGGTGTGCATCTGCTGAGGTACCCCAACGCTCAGTGCCGTCTTCTGCCAACACCACCCAAGGCGCTCTCTCCTGCAAAAAGATGTGCTCCACAACCTTTGGCGTCGAGTCCGTCTTGAGACTCTCCAAGTCGACCGTGGCCATGCAGAGGCCGATTCCATCAGGGTTGGATGGATAAGTCATGGATATCGGGGCCCCGCAGCCTGAGCAAAAGGTACGTTCGGCAACGCTCGAAAGCTTCAGTGTCGTGCGTGTCTCTTGTGAGCTAAACGTAACATCTTTCGTCGGAACATGCGTGAATGCAAGGAAGCCAGACCCAGACAGTTGCTGGCATGCGCGACAGTGACAGAGCGTAATGTCTGATGGTGCTGCACTTGATGTGTACTGCACCCCACCGCAGCGGCATCCGCCTCTGAAAACGACATCGTCTTTGATCATCGGTGGGACATATCTCGAACCATCGGCAGCTATACGTCGTCGTGTCAGTTCGCTGTTGGTTCAACTTCGGCTGCATGGGTTACTCACGTCTACGCGCTATGCCAAGGAACACGGAATCCACCTCCTCAACCTTGCCATCTATCGCCAACTTCCCCCACTCTTCTTTATAGATGCCTTGGGCTTTTCTTCGAATCTCATTGTTTGCAAAGGTCCTTGCAACGTCCTTGACGATTACGTTTTCCACAAAGAAATCGTCCCACTGCTCCAGTTCGTAGACCCGTTTGCCGTACCCCGCTTGGTTCTCCACTGTGAGGACTTGCTCCACTTTTAGGCCAGCCGACTCCATTGTCTGCTTGAGCGTGTCTTCCGATTTGCTCCACGAACGGTTGTATGGAATGGGAAGCTGCAGTCTGCGAGCTACCCTTTCAAGAACCATGCCAGACACCAAGTTCCTGGGGTGTGTTGCATCCATTGCAATGACGCCTCCGGGCTTCAGGAATCCCGCCCAATGTTCTATGGCAGCTTTGGGATCAGGGAATAGAACTAGGGCGGAAGCCACTGTGATAACGTCGAACTGTTTTCCTTTGAGTTCTTCTGTCTCATCCAGATGCAATACATCGCCCATGAGGAAAGTCGTGTTTGCGTATTTGTCTCCTCCTTGAGTCTTCTTATGGGTGGCGACCGCGAGCATGCCGGGTGTGACATCGACTCCCACAACCTGCCCTTGAGGGCCCACTGCTTCTGCTTCGCG